GCCCACACACATGCACCTGCACACGAGTATCTTGCATTGAGTATCTTGTATCTTATAGCTCGTATCCATCCGTAAGTCAATCCGTCAATCGGGGAAAAGCAAACAATCACTAGCTCCTTCTCTCTCTCTGGGGAGAGTTTCTGACTCAGATTTATGGCAATGTGCAGTGGGGCAAGGGCTAATCCCTTTGGGGAATCGGTGGAACCCCTTAACTTTTTCAATATTTTAGCTATTTATATATATATATTTTTTAATTTATAATTATGATTTTTCTCAATATATTAGAAAGGAAATGCTGTATTTGTTCTAAGACTCTTAGGAATGTCATTTCATGCATTAAATCAGTTGTGTCTAATTTAAATCGAATAAAGCGGTTATAATCAATTTAAATTAATTAAAATTTATCAGGGTGGACTGATTTGTTGACATCTGAATTAATGTTTTCAATGTGATGACAAAGAAATGTGACATTTCTTTATAGACTTCATGCCCATATCTTTTTAAACAATAATACTTTTGTTACAATTCTAAAGAAATATATTATCTTGCGGCTTTCTCCTTTACATGAAATATTTATATGCTAAGGAATTGTATTGCATTTATTAATGCTTTATTGCATACGCCTTGTCACGCATTTAAGACACTTTTTCCTAAAAGGGTCTCCCTTTGTGCAATCCCTGTTCCTTAAAATAACTCTATTTAATCATATCATTAAGGAACAATTGAAAAAAACCTTTTGAGAAAATCCCTTAACAAGAGATTAGGGATAGTACCTACCTGGAAGTCCTTCAATTAACCAATTTCCAGTAGCAAATCAACCCCAAACCCTTTTAATTCTCCGAGTTATTTTCCTTTTTCGAACAACTCAAGTCAAGGAGTGCCTGCTTTGTTAGCGTCAAGGACTTGAAAGGATCCGAAACGAAACGAGCCAAGAATTTGTGACTCTTGCCGTTTGGGAGTGCATAAATTAAAATAACAAAAATATAACTGTCGCAGCCGGAACACCAATAACAACGATGGCGGCGGCACACGAACTGCTACTGCCACTGCCACTGCAGTAGGAAAAGAGGAAAAACAAATTGAAAATCCTATCGAACAATGATAAATTGGCACGACAACACCAACAGAATAATATCGGGGAAAAACATTCCAAGTTACGCGGTTGTTGCTCATTCGCCGTCCCTTTCCATATCGCTGTAGTTGTGGTGGTTAGTGAAAAATTCAAAAAAGAAAAAAAAGGGAGAGAGGAGGAAAAAGGAAAAGGGGCGGAGCAATAATGGTTTTCCGGGCAGCGCTGCTCAGTTGTCGCGTTGTGTGTGGACTTTTTTTAAGGGAAATTCTATGATTTTTGATATTTTGGGGTGTTTTATTGAGGTTTTTTTCGGGCGATATGTGCCGGCTTACCATGTGTGTCTGTGTGTGCATTTATGGAAAAACTATTAAACGATATAGAGGGTTAGGGTTCCCTCATGTGTGTGTGTGTGTGGTTGTGATTTTAGTATCATTGCTATTTGCTGTTTTGATTTTCAACCGGCAACGGGCAATTGATAGCCGATATTTTTTGTTATTCCGCCGCGTCATGCGGCAGTTGACAACGAGCTAGCCACTTGGCAGGACACGATCCCGACACACGCCAAAAAATACACGAAATACGAGACACGAACCGGAAACGGAAATTGAACCAAGTGCACATGCGCAAAAGTGACTTGCAGAAAACGTAACAAGAGAACATCAAGTGATCACTACCTTTGAAATGAGTTTGCAAAAAGTGTTTAGTGAGATGTTGAGCGAGTGAACATAAAGAAAATATAAACGAAAAACAGTGATTATAAAGTGATCGTGGAAGAAGTTCACCAAACATTATTAATGAGTAGGTTTAAAATATCTATTACTTGATTAGTTTAAATATTGTTAGTGGTTCTTTTAATAATAAATTTATTTAAGGATTATGCAATTTAAAGAGAATTTGGTTCATAAATATTATAAATGAGTTCTTATCAGTTTCTATATTTGGTTTTTAACTTAATTTAAGTTAAATAGAATAATTATTTTCATCTTATGAATTAGTTCTTCAAGAAGAAACAAAGTAGGAATACTAAGATCAAGCTTACTTTGAGTTGATAGATATAATTTTTAGTGGTAGAAAGTCATCCTTCAAGTCCTGACTGACTTCCAGCTTCTTTTCTATTTCAACCTTGTATTAATTCATGCCAGAATTTGTGAAATATCCTTAACCAGGGGAACTTAAGCTAGAACCAATCTGATGTTATTGGTTTCCCCTAGGCCAGTGTCAAGATTATATATATATTCTCACTTCTTGCCCTTAAGCCCCCAACCCAACCGAAAAAAAAAATGGTTTGATATGTTGGTTTGCCAAATTAGCCGCTTCTGGTGTGTGGAGTCTCGAAAATATACAATATACACACGAGTATATACAGTGAGTCAAGGAGTACATGGTTTTGTTTACACTCTGTTGGCATTTTCATTTGGAACATTTTTCTCGGCATCCTCTCTCCACCATCCAGTATCCGAGCTTCTGAGATGGAAGGCAGGCGAAAAAAATCAAATAAAATAACATCAAACTACCTTAGGCTTTATAAAAATCCCAAGCAAAATACAAGCAACACTCGCCGCCCACACACACACACACACACTAAGACCTCGTCCTTAGCCAGGACCAACTCACATAGATACGCTCGCACCGAGAATTCAAGAGAAATGCGCACATCCTGGCAGGCATTTTTGCTTAACTCCTCAAAGTACCGGGCGGAAGGGTCAGGGGTTAAAAGGAGCGAGCGGCGGGGAAAGGGGAAAAGTCCTGAATTGTATAAAAGCAAAGTCAACAACAACAACAACAACGACAACATGTAGCAAGAGAACCAATTTCCAACCATGGAAACTTAATTTATGTCTGCAGCATAGTTGAGAATATTTTTCTTTTCTTTCGCTTTTCCTCCACTTTTCCTGTGCCAACCGCGTCTCCCCCAAAAACCCCTATTGCCTTTTAATACCCTTGCAAAGGGTATTCTTAGTTTTTTTAAGGCTTTAGTTACTCAATATTAATTAGCTTTGATTAAACAAAAGTTTAAAAAAAAGTTTAAAGTTACATTGAAAATGAATAATATTTATAAACGTAAAAGGAAAAAATATATTTTAAATTTATTTTTAATAATTTAATAATAAAGGATATTTTTAAGTTTATTTAAGCTATATGAAGATGCTTACAATATTTTGAATATATGATAATCCTACTTAAAACTCCTCATTATTATTTAATATCACATAGAAACCCCTTCTAAATATTAAAGTTTTTGTTATTCCCATAAATTCCTCTATATCTTAAAAAATAATAATAATTTTGTTAAAGCTTTATTTAATATTTCAAAAATAGATCCATTTTTTGAATTCGACAAAATATATGTAGTTTCTCAATTATCAATAATGTCAATAATGGTATATCATTAATTAATGTAATAATTATCTAATTATATATAATATTTTATAAGTAAAGGGTATTCAAAACTTCGTAATTCCTTACTCTATTACCCTGCCTGCTAGCTGCGTCTCCTTGGGCTTCTCCTTTTCTGCCTGCGCTCAAATAGGAAAAAGAAATTTTCGGTTTATTTCGAAAAATTTTCCCATCCTTCCTTTCAGACCCCCCCCCCAACCTTCCATTTCCCTGGAATTTTTCCTGGCTTTCACCCCCTACCCCAAACTTTCTCTGCCCTTCTTCCTTTTTGCTTTTCTTGAGAATCAAATTTATTTTACCAAGTCATGTTGAAGAAAATTTTTATAAGTTTTATGCTTGGCTCAAGTGATGGTTTGGGGGGTTAGAGGTTGGGGGGAGGAGAAATTCGTATATGTGTGTGTGTGCAAAAAGTTTTCTGTGTACACCCACTCGCACACCCCCATCCACACACACACATACTAGCAGGAAAATAAGCAAAATTTGTATTCCTTAAATCGGATGACTTTGTATAAATTTTCGTGTGCGCCACAATGGGGTTGTGTGTGTGTGTTAGTAGTGGGTGGCAGCTGGGGCGCCTAGTAAACAAACAGAAAAAAAAGCAAACTTTTCTTTTATATATATGTGTATATATACATATATATGGATCTACGTATACGTATATAATGGAAAAATTTTTCATAGAATTTGCACAAAAATGAAAAAGTGTGGCCGCAGCAAAATGATGGCGTGGGGGTGTGGGAATAATGATGATGGAGAAGAGGAATAAGAGAGGCAGAGAGAGAGAGAGAGAGAGAAGGAAGAAGAGAAGGAGAAGATGAAGGAGGAGAAGAGGAAGCAGAAGGCGGACAGAAGCAGAAAAATGAAATTAAGCGCATACGGAAATGAGACACAAATATTCTGCGTGTGTGTGTGTGTGTGCGGGCTTATGTGTTGCCCGTGTGTGTGTGTGCGTAGGGACAGAAAAAGAAGAAGAATAAGAAGAAATATTTGAGTGGCATTCAGTTCCAAGCCAAAACTAAAATTGAATGGAATCTCTGGCCAAATATTCTGTAATTTTTTCCTTTCTCCATTTGGCTTTCCTTTTTTGCACAAATAATGCGATTTAAGCCGCAGGTCGTATATTATGTACACTGCGGAAAATGAGAGTATAAGGGAATGAAATATAGCACGGGGTCCTTCAATAAGTCTTTTATTCTTGATAAGTTAAACTGAGAATTATAAAACCCTGAATTTCAGTGAAAAATAATACTTAACTACTTGGTAAAACCATAAGGATATTGTAATTTTAAGTAATTTAGGTATTTAAATATTCATCGAAGTAAATTAAATAACTTAATAAGAATTAATACAAATAAGAACTTGAAATCAAATTATATGCAGTTGAAAAGTATGCTACAAAATGGTAATTCTTACGAATGAAAACTTTTTATTTCAAGGTTAAAAAGTAATATTTTCTTTTTAAAGTTTGACAGATTTTTCCAAGAATATAAAAGATGTATCCCATTTTAAACACTTTTGAATCTTTTTAAAAACCTTTAAATATATTTAAATAGCCTTGGAATTAAACTCAATTTTAAAGGACGTCAAAAATTATTCAAAAACATATTTTGAGTTTTGAATTCACCTGTAAAATATATTTTCTGCAAGGTAAAAATAAGAATTACATATCCTAGAGTAATTTTATTGTATAGTTACTACTTTAGGTACATATATTAATTAGTATTGTGTTACCTCGTATTGCTTTATTTATTAAAACTACATTCCATATGGTGGCTTTATACATACATACATGCATATATATTAAACATATCCTCTCAATACCCTCAATCCCTTTTCGAGACTGCCCTCCCGCTAGCATGGCTTCGACTTCAATTAAAAAGTTCTTTATATAATATTTCCCCTTCTCGTTTTCCCGACTTTCCCTTTATCCCCACAGTAATATCATCCAAAATGGCTGCATCCATATATGCCACCCCACCGCCAGATCTGAGCAGCGAGGACACTGCTCTCTCCGACGTCTCCAACTCATCGACACTGAACACGAATCGCAACAGCAACAACACACATGAAGCCACAGGAGCAGCATCCCGAGAAACAACAGAAGCAGCAGCACCACCGGGAGGGGGAGGAGAAGCCGGACCAGGAGGAGCTACAGGAGTGGGAGCAATTTCACCCGTCGAGCACTTGGTCAAGCCAATGGAGCTGGAACTGGAGCCACAGCCAGCGGGAAGCGGCACAACTGAGCCGGAGCCAGAGCCAGAGGAAGGGCACAAGGATAGGGAGGAAGCGGAGGAAGAAGAGGAGGTGGGAGATGCTCACATGGCCACCATGGCGGCAGCCATGCAGCTGCAACTGCTAGAAGCTCTGAGTGATGCGGCCAAGAAGCGACGCAAGCAACACAATCCCAGTCGCCTGGAGGCACTTAATCTCAGCGGCGAAGCCTCGGGTCAAAAGCGAGGTGACCCCACCGTGGACTACGAGGAGAAGCTGTCCAAGATGTTCCTACCCAAGTCCATTGAGCAGCTCAAAGAGACCTTCGAGCTGCTGCAACAGCACAAGCAGGAGGAAGAGCAACACGAACCCGGACCGGAACCGGAAGCCGAACCAGAACCTCAAGCCGAGCCAGAAGCGGATGCCAGGGCAGACATATCAGAGCAAGCGAGCAAGGAGCGGGAGAATCCCTACCACACCTTCTGCAAGCAGTGCGGTGAGAACTTTGAGACCGAGTTTAAGCTGAGCCTGCACATGCTGCAGGACCATGGCGAAGATCGGGTAGGCGACCAGGATCCCGCCGACTTCCTGGCCTCCATCAAGGTGAAGCTCGAGCGAGCCGAAAGCCCTAATCCACAGCAGGAACATTCGATGCAGCTGCAACAGCAGCAGCACGACTTGACCAATGGTCATGGCAAAGACTTGGACCGCGAGCAAGAGCATTGGTTCCAGGCCATGCAGCAGGCACAGGCCCATCATCCGCATGCTGCCCAGATGCCGCCGGCGTTTCCCTTTCCCCCCGAGGCTGCACTGGGAGTGGGTCCAGCTGGTTACCTGCCCCTGCTGGGAATGTCCGGGTTTCCGGGAGTCGATGGCCTGAACCGACCGCCGTTGCGGATCTTCAATCCCGAAGCCTACTGCGAGCTGTGCAATAAGGAGTTCTGCAACAAGTACTTCCTCAAGACGCACAAGGCCAACAAACACGGCATCTTTGATCCCGTCGGCGAGCCCAACACCAACAACGCTTCCAGCCATCACAACAACAATAACAACAACACCACTAGCAGTAATAATAACAACAGTGGTCACCCCACCAATCCCGGCATGAGTTCCATGAGCCAGATGTTCCAGCTTCAGCGAGAGGCGAACCAGGTGCCCAAACAGGATCAGGTTACGGCCAGCGGAGGAGCCTCCGCTCCTCCCGTCGCTACAGTGCACTGTGACATCTGCTCCAAGCGCTTCACAAATGTGTTCGCCATGCGTCGCCACCGGGCCAAGCAGCACGACTCACTGCCCTCCGCTCAGGATTCACCCAATTCCCAGACCCAGACACCGACGCAGTCACAGTCGCAATCCCTGCGCGGCAGTCCTAACGAGCCACCGCAGCAGACCATAAAGCAGGAAATGTTGCAGGAGGCGGAACAGCTTAAGCCATACCAGTTGCCCGAGGGCTTCCGCGAGGACTTCACCTTGGAGCAGGAGGAGCTGAGCTTCGTGCCGCCGCCCCGGAAGCTGCCGTCGCACCTGCAACAGCAGGCCAAGGAGGCCAACTTCAGTCCGGACAAGCTGCGTCGCTTGGGCGTTCTGTTCCCGGAATTTTATTGCGAACTGTGCCACCGCGAGTACGCCAACAGGTACTTCCTGCGCACCCACAAGTGGAAGCGACATGGCCTTTTCGTGCCACCAGAGGATGTGACACAGCAGCAAGCCGGCAAAGATGAGGGCCAGATGAGCGCATGGCCCTTCATGCCGCTCAACCTGATGTTAGCCAAGGCGGCGGCAGCCTCCATGGATCAGCAGGAGCTGGACCAGGAGGTAGCGGAGGCGGATGCAGACACTGAGCAGCCCAGTAAGCGGATAAAGCTGGAACAGCAGGAGTCGTCGCCACCGGAGGGCTACGACGAGGAGAAGCTAAACGGGTCGGTGGTGGGACTGCAGAATCTCCAGAAGCTACAGTCCATGTTGCAGCAGCTAAACGACATCAACGGTAAGCGTCCCTTGCCCTGTCACCTTTGCGGCAGGGAGCTGGAGAACCAATATGCGTTGAGGGCTCACCTGATGACCGAACACGCGGGTCAGATGCAGCTGCCCATGCCCATTCCCATTCCCCTGCCCGATCAGCAGGCGACCCATCCCATGGCCGGCTTGTATCATCCCCAAACACCGCCGGGTCCCGGGGCTAGGACATCGCCCATCGGCGACCTTCGCTGTCAGCAGTGCGATCGGGATTTCGCCACGGCCCAGGAATTTAAGCAACATATCGCTGAGGTGCACATGGGTGGCCGGAATGGTGGACTTGGTGGCAGTCCCCTGCGCGAGGGTTTCTTTACCCCGGATAGGCCGGTGCCGCCGACAGCTGGGCCCGGAGGAGCTGTGCCAGCCGGTGCTCCACCGGGCAATCGTCCAGCTTACACCATTACTCCAACCAGTAGCTACTGCGAGATCTGCAACAAGGAGCTGTGCAACAAGTACTTCATGAAGACGCACATGCAACGGATGCACGGCATCGAGATCGAGAACGGAGCCCAGATTGGCGGCGTGGTGTGCAACATTTGCAACAAGGAGCTCTGCAGCAAGTACTTCCTGCGAGTGCACAAGCACAACACTCACGGGATCATTGAAGAAGGCTCTCCGCTGCCGCAGCCGAGGGGTCAGAACGGGGTCAAGATGGAGGCAGCCGCCGCAGCAGCAGCTGCCGCAGCTTCGCAGTCTCAATCACAGCCAGGGGCAGCTCAGCCGCAGGATCAGGAGATGAATGTCTCGCCGCCTACAGTGGAGGGCAGTTCCAACTCCAGTTCATCCGGCACAAGTCACGAGGTGTGTCCGCTGTGTTCGAGGCAGTTCCGTAGCTTCAAGTGGCTGCGTTCGCATCTGATGAACGAACATGGATCCGCGGGAGTTGAACGACTCCGGGAAATGGAACCCACTCAGTCCTCGGGACGCAGCAAGCCCAACAGTCCCACGCTGAAGATACCCAATGGCAGTGGTAATGGCAACCCTACTCAAGCGGGATCGGGAGCTGGAAGTGCCGCTCCCAATCTCGCCCAGGCCCTGCAGAACCTCAATGCCCAGCACCTCTTCGGCCAGATGCAGCAGCAGCAACAGCAGATGCCCAAGATGCCGCCTCTGCCGCTGCCGGGGATGTTTGGTGAGCAGGCGGCCAGGTTCAAGGAGTACCAGTGCTCACTGTGTCCCTTCACCACGCCCTACTACGCCTTCCTCTTCATCCACGAGCGTTCCCATGCGCTGCTTAACAACGGAGGCGAAGGCATGGAACTGCCCATGGAGACACCGCCACAGCAGCCGGCAAGAAACCCGGGAAAGTCACGTAGCAAGTCAAGCAAGGCGGCAGCTGTAGTGGCACCTCCAGAGCCTGCGGAACTCACTGTGGAGCCCACCAACCTCAGCACCTCGGCTCCTAAGATCTCGCCGTCAGCCGGGTCTCCGGCCAACTCCTCCCCCAAGGCAACCAGCTCAACAGTTTCTCCCAAGATTCAACGCCGTCGATCCTCCTCGAAGCCACCGACCACGCCCAACGGATTGGCCAGTGGCAACAATGGAATCGGAGCCGGAAACGGAAGTGGTGGCCACCGCTCGGCAGCCACCTCGCCCTTCGAGGGCTGCGGGGACCTGGCCAACGGTAGCGGCAAGCCGGCAAGCTACGCACAGCCGGATCGGGCAGAGGAAGCATATCAGATGCAGGCCTTCCACCTGCAGCCCGCCGACGCCGACTCGGAGATGCAGTTTGCGCCGGCCCTGGTCTACCTGCCGGTGCGGGTTCGGGCCTCGGAATCGGCCACGCTCAGCTTCCGGCTAACACCGGCCTAAGGTGCAGCATGCAACAGGTGAATAGTGTTGCCAGCAGCAGTGTAAGTTACAACCCATAGTCACCTTCCAGAAAACTTTTTGGGGCCTTGGTCATTGCATTTCCCAATACCAAAGATTCGATTTTCATAAAGTATTTTACGAGTTCAATTCATTTTCAAATAAAGAGTGACCAAAAGCCCCTAAGAGAATCACAAAATAGTTAAGCAAACGAAGTTAGGAACATGAACAAGACAAAATAGTGGAACTACAAAAGACTGAGTGCGCATATTAGTTGAGCTCATAATTAAACTTAAATATACAACAACAAAAATTAAACCCTGATAACAACAATAATAATCGATCAATATCTACGCCCAAGTTTGCCATGTCCAACATGGCCAACTGATCAAGAAATCTATAGCCTATAACTCAACAAGAACAAGTCCGTTTCAGCTGGCAACACTGTGCTAACCGTCGAAATAAGATATATATTTTGATAGACGCATGACATAGCATAAAGCATAACATACCGCAACCTATAACATATATCTCTAGTGATTAACTATCAAAGTTCCTATGCGTAATCGTAGTTTATCGTAATCGAAAGAATCGGAGTTCGTAGACGTCGGAGGAGAGGAATCTAAATACGTACATAATGCATAAGCTGGACAGGCGGAGGAGAGGTGGATGAGGGAGAAAGGAAAAGTACTATATAGTACTATATATGCCACTTAGAGGGATATATCGCAGTAGAAGCAGCAGCATAAAATCAAAATTTAAATTATACACTTCTCATCTAGATATGGCTATTTGGGTTTTAGAATAGGGCGGACAGATCCCCGGGGGATCCCAGCACGTAAAGGAATATATATGTATATGCTACGGTCATATATATATATTTATAGGAATTTAAACGATACAGTATGGTAAAGCTTCAGCACAAAACAAATTGCTCAAAGTCAGGATCTTTATAGCGAAGACTATACACTCTTAGGATGTTCTGAACGAAGGCCCCGATGGAGATCTGCACTTACTTTGATTGCCACACTCTCTATAAAGCTATATCCAAGGAATGTCTTCACTTAAAACATATATTTCCAGCGCACAATGTGTACATACAAGTTGTTAAAGATATAGTTCAGATATCCGATTAATAGGGGCAGGGACGGAAAGAGAGAGAGAACTAGCGCCAGATGGTAAAAATTAAGAACATTTAAACAACTCAGGGCAAAAGTACAATGACCATTAGTACTTTTTTATACAAGAACATATTAAAAAAAGCAAAACGTAAACAATTAAATATTACCAATATAATAAATTAAATATATATTATGAAACGTTAAAAAAGATAACAAAAATGCTACCTCAGACGGACTTGAAAACAATAATTTAAATAAAACAAGAATTTATAGAAGAAAGTCTATGAAAATTTAAAGAAAACTGCAGCAGATAAAATCCCCTAAAGATAAATACAATTTTTTTATATATTTTATTTCACATATTCCTTATGATTTAATGAATTATTTTAAGTTTAAGCATTCCAAAGGTTAAAGACACGAGCTAGTCGCATAACTAAGAACCAAAGCATTCTAGTCAAACGTTTAGAAATAAACAAAATAGTAATTATAATAACGATAAACCCGAAGCCAAATCAGATCCATCAACTCATCCGTTTTGGGCGGCGACTCTCACAGATTATTTTGTAGTATTTAAGGAATTTGTTCTTCGGTGAGAGGAGCTGCCCGGGGCGAGTTGATGGCTCCAAGGACGAAAACAGGGACCGGCGAAGAACTATTTGCTATATTCGAAATTTTCTTTTTTTAAAACGTGTGTTTTTTAAAATGCTGCGTGCCTTTTAGCAAATACTTTGCCGAGTCCCGACAAAAACCCCCAAACATTTGAGCTCTTAAATCGAAATGAAAATAAATATATAGCTACAAATATAGATGGTAATTTTATTTTATACATTCTACTTAATTATTAGTTCTTATATATTATTTGAAATGTGTGTATATATGTACCAAATAAATGTCATTCAATTTGTATTTGTTAAACTTGAGTTTCTATTATTTTATTCGAAATTCTGATTTCCCCCTTGAACAAAAAGCCACCATGTATTTTTATTTTTTACCCCGATGGAAGTGTGCCAGACTCGAGCCGCAGGCAGGGTTACATTTGTATATCTCAAGGTCTTAAAAAATCGGAATCTTCAACTTATTGACTGTGAAGTTGTCGCCGATAGGGGAAGACCTTTGTTTTCTTTGTTTTTTGGGTTTTTTGAGTAAGTTCTCATAGGGGACCTTCATCTTTCGGGGTGTCATATGCTGGTCCAACGCCTTGGCAACTTCAATTATTAAATTGCCATTTAATTCAATTTGTCAACAATGGTTTGAGTTCATATCTGCAACTTGTGTTAAAAACTAAGTCCCCAAGCAGCTGGCTTTTCTTTTTTAAATATTTCCAAAAAGCAGCACCCTCATGAAAAGAAAAGGAAAACTGTTTCCGGTTCCTGGGACACACACAAACACACTGACCAGCAACCCCTGATTAGTATGTTTGCATTAAAAAATACATCTATATGAATAGAAATAAAAAAACAGAGGTATGCGATAACAAAAACCCAGCATGGTCATGTGAGGGTCAAGTTTGAGGGTCGGGTCAGCAGCTGCAGTTCTAAAAAATTTCAGTCGTAATATCCAAAAAAATAAAAACCAAAAATCGATACTGCTGTCGCAATGCCACTGGCCTTTATCAAATGCAGCCACCCTCTGAATTTTCCTCTCGGTTTTCTCCCATTTTGGCAGTTAATTATTTGTCACGTGTCCATGCAAATTTCATCTCATTGATTACGGCCAGATATTCGATACTTTTCCGGCATGTAGCTGCAATTAAAGATTGACTCAAGCAACAACCCCCAGCCAGGTTGCCATCCAGGGGATGGGATGGATGGTGGTAGGCAAATCTGGCAAATATTTTTCCCAATTTATTCCGAAATATTTTCTATTGAATTTTTATGGCAATTTGGGAAAATCGTCTGCCAGCAGAGTAACTATTTTTAGGGCGCAAACAATTGACCAAAATGCAGCCTCACCCCGTGGGGTTTCTGCATCGATTTAAGGGTGTTCCACCGCTATTTGCATGTTTAAAAGTGAACTGGAAAAATTGCAATTTATGAAAAATGTAATGAAAAGAAATAAGGAACAAAAATTGCATTTGCCAAGGGTGATTTAGGCGCAACCCCCGAAGAAATGCTATGCAAATTATTTATTTCATTTTTGGCTTGAGTCTTGGCAATGGCTTTCCATTTTTATTTATTTCGTTGAATTTTCGCGTGATTGCAACCCCCAACCCCCCTCAAAAAAAAGAGAGCGCACAAATCAAAAGAGATAAGCGAATATGTTTTATAAAACAAAAAAGCTAAATAAATTTTACAAATAAAATCCAAAAAACAACTTGCAACGTACCTTGAGCATAAATCAAAATTTTGTACGACCACGCCGGATGCAAGTCCGGTAAGGTTCACAGCAAAAAACAACAACAAAATCAAAAATACAATTTTAGAGCATTAAGCACAAAACAAATTACACTCTTAATAAATATTTTAGTTGTAGGCTTAAGAAGAAATAACAAAATACTTTGGAAAATAATTATTTAATTGATGTTGAAGTTGGAACCAGCGGAGGAAGATAAAGAAAGCAACACAAAGACGTGAAAGAGCGCAAAATCAAAAGCCACGAGCAAAAATCAAAACAAAATTAAATTTAAATTTACTATAAATTAAAAACCAAAACGAAACCGAAAACAAAACATTTATTTAGCAATTGGCAAATGTATGAGATATATACACATATATATCGATATATATATATATATTACATATATTTAAACAATTTTACTTTGTTATTACGTAAAAACTATGTGTGAGGCAAAAAATCAAAAGAAACGCAAGGCAAACTTGAACAAAATAATTTATATTACGATATATGTGAAAATGTGAAAGAGCAGAGAATCAAAAATGGGAAGAAACGGAGGAAAACCCAAAAAAATTTCATTTCATTGTAAGTGAGCATTTATCAAAAATTGTATGTGTTTTAAATTGATTATATTAAATATATATACAAATACATATAAATAAATTTAAAACTGCGTCATCTGGGAGGTGTCCTCTGGCAAAGGAGGCAAAAATCAAGGAGTTACCTCTCCTGGAGCTCCTACAGTTCGACTTCTGCGAAGCGAATGCACTCGGGTACACAAGTGTCATCATCTCGAGCTTTAAAAGTGCTTAGGTCGCCCTGCGATTCGTGTGATTCCCCATTCAAAGTCGGCGAGGGACTTGTCTAAGCTGATTCTGCGACCCTTGAGACTGGAATGCAACCCACACCATCCTCTGAAGCCCACATCACTCCCAGCTAACATGAGGGAAATTTCAACTTTTCCGAGTTTTGACATTTGCTTTCAGCTTTTCAATATCTGCACAAGGAGGCAGGGATGAACTAAAAGCACTGAGAGAAATATATGATCACTATTTAAGGAGGTTTTTTTATTAAATTCATATTTTTAGGCATGGAATTAGCATTGCTTGGATTTGTTGATATAAAAGGTAAGATTTTATATATAATACTTTTCATCTTTATTTATTTATTAAAAAGTTATTATTTAATATTCAGTCAATAAAATTAATTTACTATCTTTGAAGTTGGGATTACGTACCCAAAAATCAATTTCTCTTAACTAAATGCATAAATTCTTCAGTTAAATAATCCCATTAATGCATTATCTAATTACTAACCAAAACAATACTACTCAATGGAAATACTCTCCAGTGTGACTCCAAATTTATCTCAGTGCACGGGTCAGAAGAGGCGGCAAAAGGAAACTTAATCCTCCACCGGCAACTGAAGATGGTCCTGCCATTTTGCTTGTTGCTACCCTCTAAGCAGCTCGAGCATTGCGAAATCAAAGTATGTCAATATTTGTATTACATGGGACACTCACTGTAGCCGTAATGGGCAACAACAATGCCCGTGGAAATGTCTTATCAATAATTTTTGTTAAGAATGCGACGAAATCAATTCCGATCGGGGGAGCTGGAGTTGTGCGTCAGGCGGCGCGTGTTTCTGACAGCTCCATAGTTTCCTTGTCTCTTGTCTAACCCCCGGACGAACTTCCACTTCCTGGAGGAAACAAACTTGTTCATAATTTTCGGGCTGACAAGTAAA